GGTGTCTTCTAAAATGGTAGCTAAGATCCTACCCTTTTTAATGATGGGCCAATATTTCTTGAAATTTTTTTTATTATGCTTTATTCTATACAACAGGGGTATCCATATAAAAACATTGCACATTTTTGGCAATACATTACGATTGAGGCACATAGTGGTAATGCAGATAACCAGCATGAACGTTAAGGCACAGATCCCGCGGCTTTTCAATTTGAATCAACAGTAACATCAATAAACAGAAAGAGCACACGTAGGAGCAGTAGGGGTAGTTAGAGGCACATTCGGTCCTTCCTGCAGAAGACGTATTCTGACCATCTACCATTTGCGGATCTGGGTCTCGTACTCATGTCTATATGTTCTGCCCGAAACATTGCAACCATAAGCGTGTATCTGCGGTTCGCCATGTGACCATTCTAGTATTGGGATACTGCATACGGACCATTGACGACCAGCATCGCGGATTGTTAGGAAACTAAATCAGGGCATCCAAAGTTTGGTAATCATGCTGCCTCTAACCATAAGACACCTACATTAACCAGACGTGTGTGGTAACATGGCCATATGGGACAGTGAGTAGTAGGGTGAAAAACATTCAGGAGCAGGGGGAAAAGACAGAGAGAGAGGGACTTGAAAATGTTTTTAATCATATAAAATGGGGTAGAAAAGGTAGTAACTAATGCATAGTCAAATTTGCCATTGTATTTCGCCTTATTTTCTTTTTTTTTTCTACTCCGATAAAAGTCTATTCCTGGTAAATTGGCTACAAGTTTAAAATATCTTTAATTTTTAAAAACCCTTTTTCAAAAAACATTTAAAAAAAATGTTTTAACCTGTTCATAATAGTCTCTAATGTCAACAACAGCTAATGCAAGTAAATTTCCCTTTTTAGAACTGATGGAAACCATGTGGGATGGTGGTGGAAATTAACCGATTTCTATGGTAAGATCTACAAAACTGACCTTTGAATTTTGCTTTGGGTTTGAATGTGGTCAGCTGGATTTTTTTTATGTCACAAAAGTAAAAAGTATAACAAACCACAGAAAACAGGATTGTTCAATATAAGAGCATATATAGAGAAAGGATTGACGGTTTAAACTTATATATAAGGGGGGAAAAAAGCATAAACCAATATCCATGGATAGAGTGTAAAAGTGGTAAGGACACACAAACCACAAGCATAAAAGTACTATCAAATAAAAGGGGATCCACATATGGGTAGAGCTTGCGTGGAGGTCCACAGCGAGATGATGGAAACCAAGGCTATAGAAGAAAAGAACTATGGAACAGAGACTCAAAGAAAAGCAGTAAGTGAATGGAGAAAGAAAGAGAAAGGAAAAAGGAAAAGTTAGAGAGAAGAAAGTAAGAAACTAAAGTAAAAAGAGAGAAAAGCATAGAAGAAAATGAAAGAACATTAAGGAAAGGTAAAGTAAAGGAAGAAAGGTGTCCTGGGGGGAAGAGTATCCAATAGGATCGGAGAGAAAGCAAAGATACATCAAAATCTGGGGGCTGAGAACATGAAATCCAGGGCTGACAGGTCAACAAAAACTTTGCATGGGGTTCTGACACTATCACAGTCAATTCCCCAATGTTCATTATCCTCATCAACCTGTTTTTAAACCACTGCATAGCTCAAGGGTAGAGTCTTCTATGCACTGGCTATGGTCAAGTTAGTAGCTGCGAACATGTATAATGTACGATGTACCCCCACCACGTCCACTCCAGAAATATCAGATGGCTTCAGGTAAATGCCAAGATGAACATAATAGGAGAAAGAGGGGAACCATGCCTGGTTCCTCTACGAACAGGGACGAGGGAAGATTCGAAGCCACAATACCGCAGTTTTGCTTGTGGTAAGGTATACAAGGATGTTATCCAGTGCAAGAAGCTCTAGCCAAATCCAAAGTGTTGCAACACCTTCAACAGGTAAGACCAAGAAAAAGAATCAAAGGCCTTTGCAATGTCTAACGACAGGAGACACATCTCAACTGGATTTTTATATATCATTTATTTAGTATAAGTCTTTCTGTACCATTGGAAACTTTTCTCCTTTTTGGATCAACTTATGTGGCAGGTTGTTTGGATTAAACATATTGGTGCAGATAGCAAGTACTCATACTCGCCCAAAAGCTCCCGATACCAGAACAATGTATCAGGAAGCCGGACGCCTAGTCATTACACGAGGTCCGGCATCCTAATTGGGGATGAGGCATATTCACACTAGTTGCACAGCATAATGCGGCATGTTACATTGTGGTTAGTGAGAGGTGAGCTGTTTACTTTTTTTTTTTAGGGATGCATCGATACTGATACTAGCATCGGTATTGATGCCGAGTATGTGGGCGAGTACACGCCCAAATGCTCCAATGCCTAGCCCAATACCCGAACTTCCGGTATCAGGAAGCTGGGCAGCGAGACACTACATGCTGCTCGGCTTCCTGATTTGCCGGGAAGCTGGCTCCACGCTTCCTCGCCATTTGGTGATGAGGGAACATGGAGTCAGCTTCCCAGCCAATAAAGAAGTTGAGCGCAGTGTAATGACTCGCCACCTGGCTTCCTGATTGGTCGAGAAGCTGGCCAGTCAGGAAGCCAGACTATGAGTCACTAACCCCCCCCATGCCCCCCGAGGGAGCACAGAGACGGCTTCCCGACTAATCAGGAAGCCAGGTGGCGGGTCATTACACGCCGCCTGGCTTCCTTATTGGGACTTTTAGTATCGGTATCTGCGAGTACCGAAAAAAAAATATTGGTACTCGATATCGAAAAACCGGTATTGTGCATCCCTACTTTTTTAAGTTTATTTGGAGTGTTCACACTGTACACTTAATTCTGGTGCCCAAACAGCAGCGTGGTGTACTGCATTGAAGTGACCTTCGATTCCAGCCAGTGTTCTGAGCAAAAATGCAGCATGTCTGCATTTTTTTCAGCGCACTGCAAAGCAGATCCCACCTGTGTTGCAGTGTGAACAGGGCACATAGAAAACAATTGTTTTCTGTGTGCCCTTGCAGGAAGCTGTATTTTTCAACTGCTGAAAAACTCAGCTCTCTGCACAAGTGTGAACTGGCCCTTAATACAACCGAGAATGAAACTATTACTGTATTAGATAAACTAAATTAGATACAATGGGTAAAAAATATAACTTTGTACAAAAACACCTACTTCTCCACCAACAGCGTCTTGTTTTCCCTTTTAAAGTATGCAAGCTCATTCCATACAGCATCTGAATCTTCGTGTCTAAGCTCAGAGGGATGTGCACGAACAGGCTTCTTCCTATGAACTTTCTCCCTGTGAGATAAATACATCATTAATAAACTGATCAAGCAACAGAATATTGTATCACAACAATTCTTTATTCAGCAGAAGATCCCTGGGAGAGGTGTGGCTTGACCAAATATGCATGTGGATGTGTTGCGAAGGATGGTGTTTGAGTTGAGTGTTGAGCCAAAATTTTACCTGTAATGAGAGAAAACCAAGAGTACAGTTGTTGACCCTGGAAAATGCTATCTGCCTGGCTGCTAAGCTAGTCCTCTGTCTTCAATGACGCCGGAATATTTATGGTGGGACTCAAAAAAATGTCAACGGCATGTTAATTTTAGTGACAGGTTGCATCATATGGCTTTTTGTTATTTTTCCCATTGTTACATATCACGTTTAGTTTACTAATTTGTATTGAAATTATAGTCTATCATGGGAGCGGTGGCTACCTTACAGCACATACAGAAACTATGAGGAACAAAATTAGCCACCCTCCACTCTATGCAGATGATGTCCTAATCTCCCTTTCAGACCCTCTAAACTCATTACCAGCAGTACAACTCATTCTTGACTCCTTCGGACTTATTTCCTTTCACAAAGTAAACCATAGTAAATCTCAATTGCTAGGGATCAACATTACACCTTCCTTATGCCAACAGATATCCTCTGCCACTCCTTTCTCGGGGGCCCCCACTAATGCCTTAAACCAGGGGTCTCAAACCTTCGGCCCTCCAGCTGTGGTGAAACTACAAATCCCATGATGCATCTCTTCAGCAGTCATGTCTGTGGTTGTGATAATCTTGCAATGCCTCATGGGATTTGTAGTTCCACCACAGCTGGAGGGCTGGAGGTTTGAGACCCCTGCCTTAAACTATCTAGGAATCACCTTAACCACGCTTAGCTCTCACTTATTTAAAGCCAACTACCTCCCTCTCCTCCATAAGGTCAAACTTTTATGTAAAAATATATCTAGCACTCCAACCTCATGGGCTGGAAGAATTGCAATGACCAACATGTTCATTCTACCTCGTATACTTTATACTTTCCGAGCCATGCCAATCCCCATACTGCCGTCATTTTTGCAAACCCTACAAAGTGTTATGGACTCTTATTTGGGATAGCAAGAAACCACATATACTCAAGAACTGTCTCTATTCTCCAAAATCCCATGCTGGACTGGGAGCACCTGATATACACAAATATTACAAAGCTACCATCCTGGACTTTACCAGGCAATGGTGGCTTACCACTTCGGATAAATTGTGGAAACAGATTGCAGCCTCTACTGTAGACCTTCCATCCTTGTTGTGTTCTCTTCTATTGAACTCCACCCCTGAGCACAATTACCTAGCTACCAGTACGGCTGTCACCAGACTCTGATCCTCACTTGGATTAGCTACGCCATTATCTGATCATTCCCCACTCAAATACATTCCTCAATCGACCATTGAGGCTGTTTTTAGCGAAACATGTTTTGCTCCGTGGAAGTCCTTAGGCCTGACTCATTTACACCAGCTTTACATTGATGGCTTTGTGTCAACGTTCAAGGAACTATGCCGTCGATACTCCATCACTTCTAAGGACTTCTATAAATACCATAGACTACGTCACTTTTTAGCTACTCTGCAAATTAAGGATAACCATTGCATTAGAAATATTTTTGTTTTTCTTTTCAAAACCCTTCCGCTATTTCTAGAGGGATCTCCTTTTTTTGTCTTTTACAGGATCCTTACTGAACCATTACCTGATGCCAAAGTCCCCACTATGCTGTGCTGGGAAAACAAACTCAAATTTGCTTTAACCCCTGAACAATGGTATGAAATTATCGCTTGGCCTCTAAAAACCTCTAGATGTATCACTCATTGGGAATCCCTCCAACAGATTTTGCACAAATGGTAATTACACCACCCCAACGGCTAGCAAAAATCTTCCATTCCTCCTCTCCCATGTCCTGGCGCAATTGTGGCAAAATCGGATCTCTATCACATATTTGGTGGTCCTGGGAAACATTAACTACATTTTGGATTGCAAGTTTTCGATTTATATCCTCTATTACATGAATGCCCCATCTCTCTCCCTCTCCTCAACTGGTACTATTGGGCATAGGCATAACAGACTGGCTTCCCTTCCAGCGTATCTTTGTAACTTACGGTCTAATAACAGCTAGATTATCTGTAGCCAGACGCTGGAAGCAACATACTATTCCAACCCTCTCGGAAACAATTGATATACTGAATGTTCATGCTCAATAGGAGCATATTTTTGCCAAAGCACATTGTAAATTTGAAGATTTGTGTTACCAACTGGTCATGTTGGTTGAACGACCCTCGTTGACCTTATTCTCTAATGGTAGAAGTCTCCTAACCCTTTTTCTCTTCCTTCTCTGAATCACTCCTTTATACACTTTTCGTCTAGCTTTATACGCACCTCACCTCTCGCAACCATACATTTGCAAAGGTATATGTCCCTGCTTTTCAGATATACCATATGAAGACGATGCCTCCTGTGGTTTTTGTTTTTTTTATTCCATGATTCTTTGGTCAACAAAATCATCCACATCTGCTCTACTTGAGCATTCCCTTTTTTATCACAAATTTTTGCTTGTATCTTGCACTATTACGAGTGCTTTTTGAAGGTTTACAGTTGTTGCTTTGATATTAGTGCTATTCTCTTTATTTGCAACGTTTATTGGTTTTTTATACATATGATGTGTCCTGCTGTTGATGCTTGATTGTTGTTGTTTTTTTATTATTTACAATTCCTTAAGAAATAATTATTGTTATAATATATATATACACACCGTAGCAGCACCAATTCAGAGATGATTTAAGGATCTACAGCTAAATGAGGCACAAATAAGTTAAATTTGTGTTATTAGTTTAGGTCCATTTCCACCTTTGTAAGTGTTTTGCATGTATTGTGGTAATGCAGAGGTGCAGCGATGATGTACTGCAGTCCTCAAAATTTCCACTCGCCCCCTCGCAATTGGCGAGTGAAAATTGTGTGGAGGTGAGTGGAATGTCATTGAGGGGTTGCGCCGCCGGCGGGATGGGACACTACCGCCGCGGTGATTGCTCGCTTCTGTTCTCTTCTCCTTTTCGCCCGCTGCAGCTACATAGCGGCCGAGAAGGAGAAGAGCGAACGATCGCCGCAGCGGTAGTGTCCCATCCTTGGTCCCACCGGCTGCGACACCCCATCGATGACATTCAGTTCTGCTTTCTTTCCTTCCGCTGTCTTCTGCGGCTTCCTCCACCTACCTCAGCTGCCAGGCTGGGAGGAAGACTGCAGAGACAGTGAGACACCTGGCCAGAAAGTTATGCAAAACTAAGTTCTATCTCGGTACATACCCCGGGGGAAAGGAAGAGGGCACCTGAATACCATCAGCTAAGTGCACTGTAAGTCCCTTTAATTTCTTCCTTACACCGCTGACCTCTGCACTGCACATCACGCTGACCTCTGCACTGCACGTTACATTGCTGACCGGTGCACTGCGCGTTACATTGCTGGCCGGTGCACTGCGCATTACATTGCTGAGCGCTGTACTGTGCGTTATACTGCAGACCACTGCATTACATTAATGACCTCTGTACTGTTGACCTCCTGTACTGTGCGTCACACAGCTGGCCTCTGTATTTGGCATTGCACCACTGACTTTTGTACTGTGCGTTGTTACTGATCTTTGTACTCTGCGTCACACCGCTGACCTGGCGGAGTTAAGGCCGCGGCAGGGTAGGGGTTAGGTTGGGCAACTCGTGGTGTGTAACTTTTAAGGCCTGGCTAGTAGCTTAGGACTTGAAATTTTGAGCCCTGATGTACTGTATACGAGTGCACATTTTCATGACTCACATTGCAGGCTTTCTTCATTTACTTTATGAAGTTTTTATTAAGCCTGAACATAGGAATTAAAAATTGTCTCCACATGAAACTCAGTCTGATACTGGCGTCGGATGCAAAGCAGGCTGTAAACAGCTGCCCCCATTTCCATGAGGATATGGAAAGGAAAGCTAACAAAAAATATAAGTTTATGTGTTTATATACAGACACTGCATATGTCTGTTTCATGAACACTTGGTGTGCATTGCTGGCATATGCTTTTAAAAAAAGCAAAGGTTGAAATGGGCTTTAGGGTACTTGAATACATTTTGAAGATTTAACTCCTGAGTTTGTGTCACTATAAAGTGATTTGGCAGCAAATTTTCTTGGATCAGCTTGGCAAGTCGATAAATAATGTTGGAACTCACCGGCCACCTCCATCTTCCATATTCTCTTTTTGCTGTTGGAGTACTTTATAACTGGCCTGTATTGCCAGCAACCTTTCTTTTCGATTTTCATGTGCTTTGCGAAGCTCAGTATTTTGCTGTATCTATGGTTAAAAGTTAATAGGATTCAATCAATACACTGCAATTTGGAGTTTAACAATAACATTAAAAGGTGTTAAAAGGGTGCAAATGTATGTTTTAGAAGATGCAGAATTGGGAAGCCTCAAAACTTATGAAACAAAATTCCCCTGCCTTTTAAATTGTAAGCAGGGCAGGGCCCTCCTTACCATCTTGTCTTAATTTGTATTGCAATGTCTTCCTTATATTGTAAAACGCTGCACAAACTGTTGGCGGTATTTACATCCTGTATAATAATAATAATAATAATTTAGAGTAATAAGACCATAATTGAACTTTATGGTCATATCCATAAACACTAAGTCAACAAGGCCTATGAAGAGAAGTATATCATCCCTATTGTGAAGCATAGAGAAGGGCTGTTTAGGGGGTTAAATGAGGTACAGCAGCACAAGTAATTTAATTCAAACTGAAGGGCAACTAAACTCATAAGAGTCATGGAGGAGCTCAGCTATGAGGAAAGATTAGCTGAACTGAATTTGTTCTCTTTGGAGAAGAGGCGATTAAGGGGGGATATGATAACGAAGTATGAATACATATAATGTACTTGATGCAAAATGATTCACTTTAAGTTCACTGCAAAGGGCAAGGGGGCACTCTTTGCATCTGGAGGAAAAGAGGTTTAACCTTTGCACATGGAAAGGTTTCTTCACAGTAATAGCTGAGAAAATGCGGAACTAGTTCTAGCTAGCTTAGGTAACTTTTTTTTTTTAATTATTAAATCTGGATGCACTCCTAAATGCACAGAATATAACCAGATATTAACATTTTTTAAGTAAAACAAACACAAAAGACTGTTTATCCAGGGAATATCTGATTGCCTTATGGGATCAGGAAGGGATTTTTTTTTTTCCTTCTTCTTTTTTGCCTTCCTCTGGATCAACTCTGGGCATAGGGTTCTGTCTATGGAGAAATTTCCATTTTTTTTCCTCTATAGGTTGAATTTGATGGGCTTGTGTCTTTTTTCAACCTGACTATTTAACTATGTAAAATTGATGGCAATATTATTGCAGCATATTAACAAACTGTTGGAGGAAAAACTGCACTCATCAGCCTATAAGCTACACAAGGGGTGTGCCTTGCATTGAGTATTCCAACATGACTGATCTGAAAAAAGGTCAAGTCGATCCTTCAGTGGCTGCAACAGAAAAAAGTGAAGGTTCTGGAGTGGCAGTCACAGACACCTAACCTTAATATTCAGTTCATACTAAACAACCAAAGAAACTATTCCGAACCTATTGCCCATATATTTTAGCCAGCACCTACCCATAGGCTGTCCTCCATGACACAACAGGCCATTTAATTTTTTATTTGTGAGAATACATGTTTGTTATATAGTAGCACAGCATGGATGTTAAACGTTTCTTAGAAGCTAAGTGAATTATGCTGTATCAGGTAGGCAGTTTAGAGAGAAAATCATACAAAATGAATATGTTTTGTGTAACATTAAAATATACCCCCAAAGCCAAATATTTAAGTCTCCAGTTTATCCCTGAGAAATGCCTTCAGCTCAATTAGAGGGCAGTTTTCTACCTTTAATACTGTCAGTTTTTACACTGGCAGGACATGGTTTATATAGCTTTATGGCATTCACCTTAATCTGCAGTGTCTTCTCTAAATGCTCAATCTTCTTTTCTGCTATCCTAAGCTTCTTTAACTCTTCGGACTCTCCGGAAAAGCCCTTTGGGGACAGAGACCTTGAACGTTTCACAGGTTGCACCTGGAGAATAAAACAAGCACATGGTTGAAGGAGTTGAACATTGGATTATGAAAGACATGCAAAATTAAAGAACAAGTAATTGAGAATACTAATAATGAATTATAAAAAAATCCTGCCTGGAATACTGGAGAAATAACAAGCAGAATTACCACAGTGCTACCGCTAAAGGTTTCTCTGTGACTCGTTAATGAGAATATTCATTTACATTTACATTGTTTCTTTCAGAATAATGATGTCCCATTAGGGAAGACTAAAGGGTTATAGACTCAGGAATGTAAGAAACCTCATTACAAAGGAGGGGATAGAGGATGGTCTAATTGCTCTATAAGGGTCCAAGGTTACACTTGATAGGACAACCGGAAACTAGGGGGAAAGGATTTTTTTCCCTTTGAAATAGTTTAGCACTCTGTGAAGTGGAAGGAACAATATGCTTGAGGAATATAAATACAACAGACAGAACATCTTATACAGTAATGACCATATGGTCATTAACTATAATGTTGCTAACTAGAGACATGAATATGTGCTTACATTATATACAGCTTTGTATAACAATCAGGTAAGAGAGATATAAAAAGTAGGGCTATTAAACTTAGATGTTTCTCATATATGGCTTCTTTTCGTACACAGTGTTTGCCTTATGCAAAATCAAACTACACATATTCACACCTTCCTAATGTGGTTAGCCTATATCTCGACACACCACAATATTAACCCCATCCTAATTTAACCCTGCATAGTAATGCTCTCTTGGCAGGTTCCTTGTGCAGGAAGAACATAAAAGTTTCTCCTGACCTTCTCTGGTAGGCATCTAAAATGCTTCCTAATGACAGCCACTTAATATCTATTCCTGGAATTACAATATCATATTTGACATCACTTTTTTATTTGGTTACACAGGTGGTGGATGCAGAAGAGCATCCAGCATCCATGATTTTTTTTTATATTAGAATTTTGTTTACCATTTAAAATAAAACAAACGGTAGTACAACAAGAAGAAAGGGCAACAGGAACCATCTGTAGTACAAATCCCAGACATTTAACCACAGGCAAGTGTGAATGAGGAGAAAGCACAAATCTGGAGGGACAAGTCCGTAAACAAAGAAATCGCTAACAAATAGGGACACGAAAGTATGTGTCCTTGACGTCTACAGAGGCTAGAAAAGGTGCAACAGATTCCTCCATCTACACTTAACTGTGTGGATGGAGTAATCTCCACCTGGGCCAATCTGTTGCACTTTTTCCATCCGACCACAGAAAATCTGCAGATAATTGTAAGGTGTATGGGCACCTTAAGAAGACATGAAAAGACCTGTGATATCTAGCTGCAGTGGAATAGACTGAACAATATTTAAGTTTGGATGCTGACATTAGCATAGATATTCTGTTTGCTGGATAGCAGTAGCAGTTCAGTGAATGTTTTCACATGCTGTCTGGAATTGCTATTTAATTTATTTTGTGCAACCCACTTTTTTCCATGCCTAATGTTTACTTTGACATTTAAAAAAAAAAAAAAACTACTTGTCCAAGGACTAAAACGGGGGCCAAATCTACTTGTCCCTCATGGAAATCTACTTGTCCTGATGCAAAAAAAGAAAAAAAAATTAACAAAAACCGTATTTAGCAGTGCCAAGAAGAGCTTCTCATTGGTCAGTGCCGTCAGGTTACTGCGCTGACCAACGAGTGCTTGAATTTTGCGAGCGAAATTCAGAATACATGGCACAGGTACAAATAGTACACCCATACTGGCGGATGGGAAGCACCGTTCCCTGAAAGGTAAGTATAGCAGGGGGAAAGGGGACCAGATTTGTGCAGGTAATTCCATTTTCCCAAATTACTTGGGAAAGTGAATTTACCCTTTGGGGTGGGTGCAGACTTGGGTGACCGTGTGTGGTTGCCACGCGGCCCCCTTGATTTCAATGGGGTTATATCCGTGTGGTAATCGATGAAAAAAGGGACAGGTACCTTTTTTCGCGACACACACCGTGCTGCGTTTTCAACCGCGATTATGTGAGAATGCACGGGAGTTAATACGGCGGGAAACTGCGCAATCTGCCTGGCGCCACTAGACAATAATGGCACTGCCAGCATGATTGGCGGTGGAGTGGGATTCTGTGACTGCTCGGCCATACACACGGTTTTGTGCATGATTGCCATGCGGTAACGGATCTTCCCACTCTGCGCACACACACAATGCCCCATGCATGCATTTATTCGCATGCAGATGATAGGGGTTGGTTTCAATTTTTTAGATTTTATTTTACTTTTTTTATTTTTGCTTTGTAATATTTTTAATTTTTATCATTTATTTAAATTTTTTACTTTATCGCCTTTGTATTTTTCCCATTTTTATGTAGTTACATTTTTAAATGGTACATATTTTTTTTTTTATTTCACTTGACTTTATTGCTATCACACAAGGGTTAACAAACCCTTGTGTGATAGCTTTTGGAGGTGACAGGTTCTCTTTATTGACCCTGTCACCTCCAACACAGGAGTTCTAGCTCAGCACTGTGCTCGTTCTCCTGTGACAGGAAGGCTGCATTCCTGTGTCACTATTCACATGAAGCAAAGCCGAGAAGCGTTATCTGCCTTGCTCCGTGCTCTCTAACCTAATTTGCCGTGGTCATGGATCCCCCACAAGAGGGGGGGTCCCCGAAGACCACGGCAAAAAGGAAGCCCAAGTGCAGAGAGAGAGAGGCAGCCGGGAGCGGTACACGGCCGGCCGGCCGCCATAGATAGATAGTGGTTTTGGACGGCTCCCACACTACATTTAGCCGTGCTGCTTGCCCGCAGTCAGGCTAAATGTAGAAAGAAACTACTCGCCCGGTGCCCGAAACTGCCTGTCCCGGGCGTCGGGCGATAGGAATTCCACACCCCTGCACATACAGCTTCAATCCCACTCATATTACCGGCGCCACTATCTTCCACAGACAAAACCTTTTTCTTGAACAATCAGTGCAACTGGGCCAGTTCCAAAAGTGTTTCTTGCCTTACTCTTTTCTGAGCTATATACATATGGGTGACAAAAATAGGTGACTGGCTCATGGCAATTGTTTTCAGGACAGAGGATTGGTACTATGAGAACTAGTAGTTTGTGGCACACAATACGTTTAGTATGGTCATTTAAGGGTCGACAGTGCAGGGGATTAGATTAGTGTGTAGGGATTTTCAAAGAATTAGAATACAAATTTTTGAAGGGAACGGAACTAAGTTTTGCAAAAAATGCTCAAATGTAGGCTATATATGACAGAAGAGACTCTGTGTGTCTCTTCTGCCATAAATGCTTCTCCTTGACCGGTCAGCAATTTTTCTGTAATTGTACACTGTGCTACACTTGAAAAGCTTAGTGTACAGTCTCAGCATGACTTTGTGCGGGGATGAAGTATTTCCTGTGCACATGCCTGGGAGTTACATTATCCAGGCCAATTAAGTAGGCCAAAGACTCCCTTCCCTGGAGAAGATGGAAGCGCTGGTGATATAGTGGAACACAGGTATTGCCGTGCTGGAGATGGGTGCTTTGCAAGATAGGTGTGCCACAATCTGCAAATATGCAGAGCTTACTGGAGCAGCATATTGTTTCTTTCATAATTTTAGTTCTGCATTAATGGTTAGGTTAAATGTTAGGGTGAGTAGGCATGTTAAGAATTAACAGTTCACATTAGGGGTCAGGTTAAGTGCTAACCATTGGGTAAAGCAGGATTACAAGTCAGAGTTAGCTTACCCGATGATAAATAATATTTCAAAGACATTTTGACTCAGGCTGTTAATCATATTTGTCTTTGGCACCAGAAGCCCTGCACCAAAAACTACTGCACAAGAGCTGAAAACTAACATATTGTGATTCGCTCAGCATTAATATATTAATTAACTGTGTGTGATAATTAGATGTAGCTTGTCCCTTGTATAAAATAAGCACCTGCTCCTCATGTCTTTCTTTGCCTCTTTTAGATTATAAGCCCTTGGGTATGTCTACCTTTTGTATGATTGCTAATTATAATATGTTAATCATTGCATGGGTATTTTTTGCTTTACCCAAATAGTAAAAATGCAGCAAAATATATTGGCACTAAACAATAAAAATATAAAAGATTGATATGAAAAGGTAACCCAGTGTAAGAGACAGAAGTCTCACAAATGCTACAAAACAAAAAGTAACATTTGATACGTTGTACAAAGAGTAAAATATTTGGTGCTCACATAAAAAGAATGCAGCCGCTATATTCACATTTGACCACAGCCTTCATTTCTTTCACAGTCGGAAAAAAAAAAAATCAAATGGTATTGACTAAACAATATATTTTGCTGCATGACATTCTCGTCATACCTTTAAAACTGAACTCAAGGCAGAGCTGAAGACACTAATAAATGCAGCTCTGTCATCAGTATTAAATCATTCAATGTATTTTTTAATGCAATCAGTAGAAATATCTGCTTTTGACTTGGCATCAGCTTCTTGAAGTCTACTGTACATGGAGTTAATCAGGTGTGCGGTAGTGTGAGGACTATATTAGGAGGAGAGAGCAAAGAGCTGAGCTCATCAGTGTGCTGCACCCCCAGTCCATTACCAAGGTGGGGGTGGTGAGGAGACCTGTAAGTGAAAGTGAAACTGTTGCAGAAAATTAGTACATCCTCTTCCCTGCAAGTCAGAGCGGTGATATGGGGCAGAGTCATGTAAATCTCAGGGCTAGATTGACAGAAATACAAATCCTTTGCAGGTAAAACAACTTTCATATATGTATGTTGCTTCTTTTGGCCAATTGCCTGGAATTTAGCATAAGGGTTACTGCGCTGACCGACGAGTGCTTGAATTTTGCGAGCGAAATTCAGAATACATGGCACAGGTACAGATAGTACACCCATACTGGTGGATGGGAAGGACCGTTCCCTGAAAGAGAATTTACTCTTTGGGGTGGGTAGGGGTGGGCAATGAGTGTTAAAATGTATTGCATTGTGGCTTAAAAAGAAAACACATGCCAGGGTGTTTTCCATGTGCTAAAATGTGTTATGGTGTGAATGAGCCTTAATGCTTTTAGTACTGCAAATAAGATGTATAGATATAAAACAGTTTACGTTATATCTAGTAATAGATAATACAACAATGTATTCCAGAAATGTGTTTAAAATCATATATTCTATGGTAGGATATTTTCTCTAAAGAGAACTGAACATTGGTTGGTTTATCGGAGTAGGATTTCCTCACTTGAATAATAGATTGTTAGTGTTAATCTCTTTACCTGTAATTGACTACAATCTCAATACAAATTAGTAAACTAAATATAAGACTGTAGTCCACCATGAGAGGGAGCTTAGAGCACACACAGGACCATGGGGAACAAAAGTAGCCACCCTCCAGAAGGAAAGACAGTGTCAGCACCAATTCAGAGATAATATGAAGATCTATAGCCGAGTTATACACAAACAAGTTACATCTTTGTTAATAGTTAAAGAACTTGAATGTATTTTAAGATATAACTCCTAAGTTTAACGTCACTTTATCCCCTTCCCGACCAATGACGGGATTATCCCATCACAACCGTTCAGTTCATTAAGGACCAGTGACGGGATAATCCCGCCTCCCGGTACAATGAGCGATGGTCTGTGAAGTGACAAGCACTCATTGAGTTACTGCTGTTGATTGGTCCCTGGGGGTCCGAGGCAGACCCTCAACAGCAGATTAGGTGGTCCTGTGATCACAGCAATAGCTGAACTCTGCGAGTGCAGAGCCGTGACAGCCACATAGCCGACAGCAGCTCACTGTGTTGTGTAGCTGGGAGCCGCATGTGTTTACAAACAAAGTATCTCTAAGGAGAATACTGTATTCTCTTCAGAGATACTAAGTATCAAACCCCCTGTAAATAAAAAATACCCCCTTAGTAGCCTCATGTTTTAAGAAAAATAAAATGTTAAACTAATGTTTGGAAAAAGGTTTTTTAAAAATACATTTAATAGAAAAATAATAAGAAAATATAGTGCTGAGGGGCAATTAAAGATAGGAGACAAACATACCACATTCTAAAATTGTTCGAAACTAATATTGCATTTCACTTCTTGTATTTTGTGACCTCTAACTCCTAAAATAAACTGAAATCCCAGACAAGGTTGGTGTACTAGCCAGGAAACTAGCATCTCCAAAAGCTAAATGGCAATGGCAGCCCCCATATGTCTCTCAAAGGTATAGTGTATCTGGGTATTTTTTTCTTCGGATTGCTGAATTACATTGAGTGTGTCATCACAGGCTAAGGTCTAGAAATAGCAGTAGCTGCCTAGAAATTGCATGCACCTCCATTAATATGGTGCCAACTTCAGAGCCAGACAACACTATGGAAATCTTGCACTGCTTGAAAGAAAATGCTATCTCAATCTAGGTGCACTTTAAACTCCATACCAGACCTTATCTGTAAAAAAATAAGTCAAGGCAATTTTCTTTGTATAGAAAAATACAGCAAGTCCAATTGCCTTGACTTATTTTTTACAGATATACCATGACCTGGATGAATGAGAACCTTCACAGACATACCAGACCTTATACAGTATGAGATAGGGTTATTAACTGTAAGGGGGGACTCCATGCAAAAGCATAAAAAGTGAGGTTCCCCCTTTACATCAGAGTCCCCCTTCACAATAGGAGCCCCCTCCTTTCACAACAAATTCCCTCTTCTCACACTAGGAACCCCTCTTTTACACCGTAGCATCCCACGTTCACTTTAGAGTTCACATCAGAATCTCCCCTCCCTTTACATCAGAGTCTCCCCATCATATTAGGATCCCCCTCCATTTACATCAGAGCCCCCCTTGTCACACGAGGAGGAGCTCTTTCACATTAGAGCCCTACCATTACATTGAGAGCCACAGCTGTGGTGGCATGGCAGGCAGAGCAGGCCTAGATGGAAGCAAACTTCTGTCTTTTTTTGAATATATCCCACCTTCTTTGGATTAATGTAATTTGTTTCCATGGTTTTGGCAGTCGGCGTGCCTGCCTGCAGCAAGGAAAGGCATGACGCTGTGTGAAAATTTCAAGACATCCCTTAGGAAGTCAGAAAGCACCCTGTTTAAGAAAGGCTGGTTTAAATAACCCATCAATAACCCAATTATTAACTGATCCTTCACACTTTAGGATGATCATCTATTATCTATGAGTAACTTGACTCTTGTATTGTAATCAGTTGTAAAGGTGTATCACCCAACAATGTATAGATATATCAACATCTGATATCTAAACATACCATAACATTTTGTTATCTGAAAAACATTTAAACCATACCAAAATTATCATAATTAAGTAACAAAGATTCTTTGAACCATTTCTAGTACAAGTTTGTTTGTTTTTTTAACATCTTGGTTTGCATCATGTTAAACTGGTCTGTGTGGCTTTGTGATAAGTCACTGAACTGTTTGTACTTCATTTGTTCTATGAAAATAAAGTAATAAAATATAACATTTAAAGTACAGCATGCAAAATGCTGCGCATAATTGACACTAGCTATAATGGGCAAGAACAGCCAAAAGAAAACTTGTGCCTACAGCATAGGTGGAAAGCCTTGGAACCTCAATGTCACAAACAGATTGGGATTTACAAATGCAAATTGCCCTCATTACAGCTCAGCTCATTATACGGAAAAGTGAACTGATGAACGGCAGAAAACCTGGCCTGCCACTGGCACGTGAAGCCAAAAGATGGTCACCTCTGGCCTATTCATTTCAGAGCTAGGCACCAATTAGGTGTCTGACTAGAAATATTTGGCCTTCGTACAGGTTAACAACTGGGTGCAAGAGAAACAGTTGCTTTCAATCTGGCATTTGTTTATTTAGAAACACATATGAACCCAGACAAATAAAATGTAAATAAACCCTTCAATTTGTTAAAATCTAGGACATATTTATGTAAAGCTCCAACAATCTGCCTCAAGTTAAGAACAGAAAACGATGCCATTCAGGTTTTTACATTCTAGCATTGAATTGTCACTTTTGTCCACTCTTTTCTAACAATTTAGCAGACATTAACGTGAAAAACTATAATTTTTCACCCTATCACACGCCCTGCTATACATAGAGCCAGTTGTATTGGAATACAATGTGTAAAATTGTAGAATTTTACCTAAACGTGCAAATGTAGACAGTGAGAATTGAGCAAAAAAAGTATAACATGAAACAATTTAAAAATGTTTTACAGCTTTGAGCTAGCCTAAGGCTGGGCACACACCTTACAACCATCGCAAGACTTTTGTCTTGCGATGGTTGTAAGGTACTTTAAAAAACGTACGATCTGCCTATCTTGCATAGGCAGATCGTACTTGCGATGGGCTTACGATGACCGCAATGCGGAACGAACATGCTACACACCCGCTGAACATGCTCGGCGGGTTTTCAAACATGTTCGTAAGTTTAAAGTCGTGCGACCTTACAGTAGTAGAGGTCGCACGGCTTCCACACACCTTACGATAATCGTACAATCGCGGGATTTCCCGCGATTAGCGTACGATTATCGTAAGGTGTGTGGGGACCTTTAGATGTGTTACTTAGGGAAAAACAAAAACTAAAAGCAGCTCTGTGCACCGTGGCATCGGCAGTAGGTCTGAGAATAGTACAAAACTCTACTGCTGCCCAAAAATAGTTATTTCTCCAAAGGTCTAAGGGGTATCCCCCCTTTGACATTCCAATCTGTAACACTGAAAAATAAATGTAATAAAAGCAATGTAGAGCAGCCACCTGTAGCAACAAATTACATATTCGTTTTTCCCTACAGGACAACAAAAACAGCTAAAAGATAATTTCTGTGAGTTGCTATAAGTTACAGCACACCACTGTAACCAAAAGGTATGATCCAACTTTCTCAAATGCTACCCCTGATGAATCAAATTTGATTGCGTTTTTAATATTCCTCAAACCTCGATCAAGCTTTGGCAACACCAAAAAGCCCAAGAAAGCAAAAGATCAAACAAAGAGTTAAAGGGCAGCAATGTGTGTAGGAACAAATTAGCAGCTAAAGAGCAGGGCTGAGAAGGTTATAATCATGGAGTGTACCAAAAGATAACAAGCCTTTGGCAAACGGTTTAATCATTCTTCCAAGCAGTTGCAAAAATTATGAGCAAAGTAGACTTATTAAAAAAAAGTTAGTTCCTGCAAACCTAGTGGGAAAAGCATTTTGATTCGAAAAAACCTTGATTTGACACAAATGCACCAGACAATAAAAGGTTTTCTTACCTCACGTATTCTTCCAGCCCTCAGGATGCTGTTCTCTAGCGCAGTTCTTCCACAATTATTTACTTGAGTTAACTGGAGATCAGTTGCTTTAAGTTTGTCCTGTAGAAATTTTATTTCTGATTTCTGTGAAGCTATTATGAGTTCCAGCTCTACCAGGGATGGATGTTCCAGCTCCTACAGTAATTAAAATCAAAATTAAATAGGAAATTATATTACAGAATTAACAGATCACACACATTTCTGGAAAGAGTCATAACTCCCAGTGTACTTCACAACCTGCAAGCAAGAATGATGTTTTCAGCAAGTGGCTTTTTTGGCTTTAAATAACCCTGAACTGCATTTGAAGAGGATTTGATTATTACTTAAAACTATTTTGCAGCAGTTTCCAAGAATTTGCTCACATATTTCAACAGTTTAAAAAAATAAATTAAAACAGAACAATGAAGAACAAACTGCAATTCTTTTCAAAGATCGCAATATGCATAGCAAAGCAGTGCACACTGATTAATCTAGAACTTAACACAAATGGCCGTATTCAATAGAGAAATAAAAGGTACAGTAACTCATAACCAGAATTTAAAATTAGACCAATATAAAGGTGGATTTTGATTGGCTGCAATGGGTTACTATAGATATGAATGACCAATTTACCACCAGGCTGAAAAAACATTTTTTCCCTCACTACTTAAAGCCCCATAAGGTACATGAACTTGACCTATGCCTGCAAAAGCCAAACTTTCCCTTGAGCCAGCTGCTGAACATGAATCAATGCATGTGGATTCAAAAACAGGTAACTGACTTTCAAATGCTATTATGAACATAAACTGAAAGATTTTCAACCAAAAGTTTAATATGCATTTGCATGACCTAAATATATTTTGATGTACCTGCTGTGACCTACTCAAGTCCTACATACACAAATTAGCTCTTCATCCAACAGCCACAATGATTAGTTGATGCTATATTTTTCACTACAGGCCTGTGTGAGAGCAAACAATGGGATCATGTAAATTCTGGCATCCCCAACATCTCTATTACAAGATCTTCTACCTTGGAGCTATGTGCTGATCATGCATTAGAAGTACAGCATCATTAAAAGACTGGAAATAGGGTGAGGGATGCTAGGTTTCCTATATTTTTGTAAGACAGACTTGCTTTAAACAATATGCAAGTAGTTTTGATTTTTTTTAACCCCTTCATGACCGCAATATGACTTCTTAAGTCCAAATGAAAAATGCATCTTGCCAAGAAAACGTTGCTGTTAGCGTTAAATGAGTTACTTTCAGGTTAAATGATGCATATCAACATTGCTAAACTTCTGGGCATCCATGCTTCAAAAAAACTCTAATCCCGAAAGAGTTCATCACAATATTTCTCAATGATAGAGTCAGGTGAACCCCCAAAACAGTACGTATTTACATACAGAGCGGGTCCCCTTTTGATAAGGGGGCAGTTTAGAAAACAGAAATGCTTCTGTTTTTCTTGATACATATGTTTGAGTTGGCATATCAAATCTCTTTACTGCAGCAATTCCCCATGAAAGCCAAAGCTGACATATATACTAAAGCTACATCATATTACACAAGTTAAACATTTATCTTACATAGCGTCTGTGTGTAAAAGCCTTTAACAGTAGCACAGTAATATTGTGTAGTTCTTTACAGGAGACACTGGACCACCTACATAAGTTCCACCTGTGCAGCCTAAAATCAAATGTTAACAACCATAATTAACCTCTGGGGTCTATTCACACTTATGTTTCACTGAAGCATGCATTTTACCTTGCTTTACCGCAATACATATTAATGTAATATTGTGGCTGCTGCTGCCTATACTCAGCGTGCCTAGACAACAACCAGCAGATAAGCATTGTTAGCCTGCAACAGGAAGAGCTGTTACTGGTGGAATCTCCAGGTAGGAAACTTTGCAACAAAAAGTGACAAAAATGATTTGCTTACAAAATCTTCATACAGTAAGGTGTGATGCCAAACATACAGAAATATAGATTTAGGGTCCACAAACACTTTGAGAAAAAAACAGTAGTCTTCAATCTTTATAATATAAAATTACATCATAATTGTCATTAGATATTCAAAAAGCCTCTAACAAAACTGAATATCTACAACTAAAGAATAAAAGCTTCCAGAACTCGCACAATTCCCAGTGTAAAAGAGTAAACATATTGTATAGTATACAGTTTCATCATCTTTTAGGATGGTTTTCAAAACTCGTTGTGACACATCTAGTCTGTTATGAAGCATTAAGCACAAATGTGTCCCGACACACAGGATGAAAATCTCTAATCTATGGACTCCAATGGAGCAATGTACCTGTGGCCAAGTGACAAAGAAAAATTTTAGATTAGATAGCAGTACTAGATATATTCTGATTTTGAAGGTAAGAAAGCTCAGTGTATTTCTCGTTTGCTGTATTAGATCCCAAACCTGGCCTGTTTGCTTGGTATTCAGCAGAAGATAGAACTTCTGAAAACACCTAACTACCCCAAAATGCCTACTTAGAAAATACCTTGATGATGTAGAAAAGCCACTTTGTTGCAATGCTCACATTTAGCATGATGCAAGATTTGCCATTTCTAACACAACTCACTTATTATGGTTCTTTTTTGCTCTGTTTTATTCCTTCTGCACAGCTCTGCCTGTTTTTCACTTTAATTTACTCATTAAGTGTAATGTCACACTTCACACATGTAGCTGGTAACAACTCGCTTGCGGGACCGGATGACTAAAAACTTCAGAGAAAATACTTACCTTTCACGTATAGCTCCCTCACTGGCCGGATGAAGCATCAATATTTGAAAGAAAAGCACAGAATCAGTGTTAAGCATTGGATGCCCAAAAGCAGTACAACTGAGAGGTAGGAAGCTCAGTAACTAAACACTATGCCACAATGGGTCAAGGAGTGCTCGACAATTTAGAAAGCAGCTTTGAAGCAACTTCTGCCCCAAACTGGCTTCAGATAAGGCTGAAACATCTAGCTGGTGGCAGCCTTGTAAATCTGGAAAATCGATGCCCGATACCTTTCTAGTTGTCTTTTTGGAGCAGGATAATACATAAGACACTATAGGCAGCTTCTAGTGGTTTGAATAGTTGGCATTGTGCAGGAACAGACTGAGGGACATTTTTCTTTAAAGAGCATTCATATACCATGCCTTGAGATCTTAAACCCATTGTTAGGACAGACAGTCCTGCTCACCTAGTTTACAAGTGACAATGGAATCTTCCAGCACAGTATAGACAGGGTTAATGTTATGGCAAACAAAACTTCAACCCCCACACCCTCAAACACTGAGAATAAAGAAGGATTTTTCAGTAATGGAGTTTCCAGAAAACCGCATTTAAGAATGGTAAGCTGCCATTATTAAATATTTTTGTTGAAAGTATGCTATGTGAATGAGAATGTGTAACCGATATACTGTAGGTATTATCCCAATTTGGCTGCACAAGTGGAAATACCCTTTAAGGAAGGCTTCTAGCCTATTTTCTAAAGGATCTCTCAAAACAGGGACATCCTCAACAGAGACCACAAGGGTTTTGTTAGGGCAAAGATGGCAGAGTCCACAAGAAGGATGCCTATTTCTTAAGGAAACCCTCCACAAACCGGTATTACTGAGCAAAGCGTTTTGGAGGGGAGAACATTTATTTAGAATAAGGCCAGTCACCATATAACATGGACTCTAAGAGTAAGTGTACAAGGAAGGCCCTCGCAGGTTTGGACATTTTAGGGGAACCCTGGCTGGAGACCTTAGGACAGGCCGATGCAGGTTGCTCTAAGTAAGGACATTTGTAAACCGCATCAATAAGATTATTAAAATGGTATCCTCTTCCTGATCAGATTCCTCTGAAGCAGGAGGGGAATCATCCTCGTCCACCTCCTCAGCAATCATTGCAGCTGTGAAGATAAAGTCAGACACACAGACTGGGGGGGGGGTTAGGGGCTGAGCCACTTGGTCTGCTTGTGACCTCTGTGGTCTGGGGACTACAACACTCCTAGACACAACAGAGTTGCTTGCTGAAGCGTGAGCAAGTGAGGTCTTCTGAGCTATTGCCCTTGCATCTATGATCTGCCATATGTGGTGTGGGTACTCACATTTGTGACCACTGCAGAAAAGGGAAGAGTTAAGCCTTCTTTGCCAAGCATTGTAGGCAGCTGGAACCCAAGAGACGTTCAAGCATTGCCGTGTTGTACTGTGGAATATGAAAGCACAGGTGGCCTGGCTGGTCCGTGCATGCTGAATAGGAAAATGGCATGCATTTCTGCAGTAAGATACAAATTGAGTCTGGGCAGGCACAATGTCAGTCTCATGCAACAAACCCTACGACAGAGTTAAGTAAAAAGGGAGCCAAATTAAAAAAATTATTGTCACTCCTGTCTATGGCTGCAACACTTCATTAACATGTGTCACAGCCAGCAACCCCACTATTAAACCCAAAAGGGAGCAAAGCATCAGCACATTGGGCCTAACTCAATGTGGCAGATTACTTTAATAGTAGATCTCAGGATGTTAGGGGCAAGCCCCATCATGGCTTCATTCTTCTAGGCAGCATACCCTGAAAGGGTCTTCAGAAACAGGGTTCCACTGTCTGATGGAGTATGGCCCTGGACCTGTGTATAGCACCATGTTGTTAACTCAAAGTGTTGCACTGTGCCAAGGTAAGCACCTAATGCAGTATTCAGTGCTCAAAGCAACATTACAACCCCAATTTGCTTACAGGTGGGGTCTGGGTACGGTTCCCTAAGATTTAGCCAAGGAGTCAAATCAATCCAGAAAGCTGCAGAGGCTATAATATGGCTAGAATAAAATCCATAGAAAGAGGTAAGTTTCTCTCAGTAGAGAGATGATGCCCATCACCTAAGGGCATTAGCAAAAAAAACGAGGCTTGCTGGTGCTGGGAGTAGGGTAGTTTATACTAGAGCTGTTCCTACCGCTTAATTTTTTTTGCCAGTGTAAATTCACCTCAAGGTGGCAGTATAACCTATGGTTAAGACTGATCCTGTGTCTTGTACTGTACTATTAAGAATTTTTTTTTTTGGTAGTGAATTTACTAATAAAATTAACCATTTATAAAAGAAAAAACTTTGTGCATGTGTTTAATGTTTAAGCTATGAAACTAATGTACCAGTGTATGTTTACATTTTAAAAGGCACTTAGGCGC